ATCGTGTAGCTCTGTGCTTAACAAAAAACAAAGAAATTACTTTGACCTTTGATAAATTTAAATTGTTTTAATATTCATTGTTATTTACACTTTCTATTACAAAATTATATAACTTTACAAGTTTATTTTATTATGTTTATTACATATTTTTTATGGATTTACAATTTGGATTATTAGGTTAATTTTTTCTTTTATTCTTTAAATATTTTTAAAAGATGTTAATTTAAATGTCTATATAAATATCTCATTTTATACTTTATTATTTAAACTATTTGTTTTATATTAGTTGATTTTAAATCTCACTTGTTTTTAATTTTACAATCTTCCTATCCCATGACTTTCAAATTCAGAAGTCAGACTTACGATTATCCTATCACACCAGACAGCACTTCAAAAGAGCACGGAGAAGTTATTATCATGCCTCTAGCTCATAACGCTGGATGTATGGTTTTTATTTCCGCTGAGGGCAAAGCACAGATAGTCCTTTGTTTAACTTTGTGTTTTGCAACAAACAAACAAAAATCATTCTTCTGACCAAGTAAACATCTGCATAACATCCTAAAATATTCATATTACTATCCGTCGTTGAGTTAGGAATAACAAGTATGTAAGTTATTTGTATCTTCAATGTTATATACACGAGTTTCAATTTAAGTTTAATGCGAGTGTTATGATTTAGATAGTTTATCAACCTCGAGTGTTAAATTTAGTTTATCGCAGGTTTGTTTACATAACTGTTTACGAATCGTACGTTGTGCAGTTCATTAGTTATGAATTGGTGATTGTTATATTATTGCATCATGTTACTAGAACCTTCTAAAATGTTCTTATTGTTTTAATCGAGTACTATTGTATCATAATATCTCGTAGTGTATGGAACGTTCTAGGCCTCTGTCGGAGTATAAATACACATAGGAAATTTAGTTCGATAGATATATAAATATATAAAGAGCATATAGTGGCAATTTCTAAAGTAAAATCATCACAAATTGTATTGCAATAACAGAGTAGAGAAGAATAGTTTGTCAGTTGTGTTCTAAAGTAATTGAACCAGCCTGTGTGGACTTTGGCAAAAAAAGAGACAATTATTTAAAGCTCTGGATACAACTGTGGTAACGAACAATTATATTGGTGATGTTAAGGTGAAAGTAGCACAAACTGTATTGTCACAATAGAGCAGGAAAAATAATTCGTCTTGTCAAAGTGTGTTCTAAGGTAACTGAACCAGCATGTGCGAACTTTGATGACAAAAAAGATCATTATTAAAAGCACTGGATACAACTGTTATAACCAACAGTGTCATGAACATTTGTATATACGTTTGACTTTATTTTAAAACAAGTGGATGGTTAATTGTTGGAATTTATCGTCAAAACGTCATAGACACCTACTGTAAAGAATCCCGCCCATCCATACATAAGCCCTGACAGCCAAATCTTGTGCATACACCAGGCTGCGCTCATTTGTAAAATGAAGAGCAACTACACGTGTAAGTTTATTGTTAAGGCATTTACGGTAGGATATTCTTTTGATTTTGCTTTCTGACTTGAAGAGTGGTATCAGTTTTGCACTAGAAAAATTTTAAAAACTGTCAACCAATCATTGCTCCTAAAACCACTCATCTCCGTCGGAAAAACAAGACTTCAGCACAAAATGTGAGCAAAGGATATCTAGTAAATGTCTTGATTTGGTTGGATGTTTAGAAGATGCTTTGATGTGGTTGGATGTTTAGAAGATGCTTTGATTTGGTTGGATGTTTAGAAGATGCTTTGGTGTGGTTGGAACATGTCTATTTTTACTTCCTTTTCTCAGTAAAAATATGGTGAAAATGTAACCTGTGATGTTGTAGGAAACATTCTCAGGGTAGAAATTGGTTCTTTTTTTTACCCTTTAGAAGCATTAATAACACCCAGAATGTATCTGAACGTTAACAGCCATGTCTTCCCCATAATGTTACAATATTCCAAATTGTACAAAATCAGCTAGAAGAATATGACAATGACTTCAGTAATTTATCTTGACCAAAAACTAGATTGCAACACAATTCAGCAACATTGAGAGGAATTGAGAGCTTCGTAGTCTCGAACCAGGTGCAAACTATTAATATTGGCAAGTGGATTATAATATAATAAGGAACAAGACAATTTCAACTTCTTTGGAGTCTCCACCAAGCTGAGTCCAAACTGTTATAGTGGCGAAAGTGATCCAGCGCTATATTAGCTGGGGTTCCGATTATATAAATTATAATAGTCTAGAAAAACAATTTTTCCATTCTTCTATTTTAGGTTTGATGTTACCATTTTAATGTCATAAAAATACTGCTTTATGGTTTTATGTAGTAAATAATTATTTTTACTTTGGTTTTATAAAATTATAGTGTTTCAAGTTAATATAACCGAACCAAAGGTATTATCTCACTATTACGTCAAACATACTTATATCTTATGTTTGATGTTATTTCTTTAGAGTTACACATCTTATGCTTGTTACTAAACAAATCATTGTTTTAATATTCACACAGATCGACACAGCTGACTTGGGAGTTGACTCCAGAGATGTTTTTATTTCAGCTACTTCTGGTAACACCCGATTTTCAGCATATCACACATTTCTTCGTAAAACGACTTTGCTGTTAGGTGCTGAGTTAGATACAAACAGCACTGAAGCGGAGTTGCATGAAGCTTTGAATGTCGAGATTTTATTGGCCAATGTGAGAACATCTTTCACAGTTATATACGTTAAGTTTTAATGTTGCAGTTAGTTGGTAGATAATAACAGCATAAAAATTATGTCTTTTATACAGGTGTAAAACCCAAAATATTTCTGACACAATTTATTTAAATATATTTTCATTATCACCTTTGTAGCTTTCCACCCCTATTCATATAGAGGCTTTCCAAAACATCATGACGATCGGAGAACTGAACCAACAACTACCAGAGGTAAATAATACCACATATACGGTTAGTTAATTTTTGTATATTTATCACAAAATAAATAGTAAAGTCCGTATTTTAATATAAACATTGTAATACAGTAATGGACTTGATGGAGTATTAGTAAGACTATAATTAAAATAAGTTTAAGAAAAACAACTTAAAGCTTACCACCATCTAACTATTGTCAATGTTCAAGTTGAGGGATATTATCGAACATACATAAATAATGGATAACAGTGACATTCATCTTCAGCTCTTGCTCAAAATACCCACCTCCCCAGTGGCACAGCGGCATGTCTGCGGACTTACAACACTGCAAACCGGGTTTCGATATCCGTAGTGGGCAGAGCACAGATAGCCCATTGTGCAGCTTTGTGCTTAACTACAGACAAACATAAAACTTTCTCAAAATAGTCTCGTCACCAGATTGATCTTAAATAATCACAAAGATGCGACTGGAAACGCCATTAAACAAACGTGGAAAATCAACCCCAACAAACAAGTACTACCCTTAACTTCCATGAAACAAAACCCAGGCTGGACTAGTTTTTGCCTCAACCCATGTGTTTTGAGTACACTAGTTTCAAATAAACATCAACTAGATTTTTATTCTGAAGTTTATACAAATCACTTTTATGATCTACAAATTGCATGTTAAAGTAATTACAACATAAATAAAGCCACATCATGGACAGTATGCACATGACAGTTTTTCACACTGACTTTAATGCGTTATACTATTATTTCCACACTAACCTGTATTGGTAGCCTAAGCCCATCTAAATTTTACTGAGTATATCGAGTGATCCGACACTCTTGTAGATGTAATAGTATTTACAATATTATTGAAGACGTAATGGTCTTTAAAATATTATTGTACATGTAATGGTCTTTGCAGTATACTTTTAGATGTAATAGTCTTTACAATATTCTTTTAGGTATAATGGCTTTTACAGTATACTTTTAGATGTAATAGTCTTTACAATATTCTTTTAGGTATAATGGCTTTTACAGTATACTTTTAGATGTAATAGTCTTTACAATATTCTTTTAGGTATAATGGCTTTTACAGTATACTTTTAGATGTAATAGTCTTTACAATATTCTTTTAGGTATAATGGCTTTTACATGGAATGGTATTTACAGTATTATTGTAGATGTAATAGCATTTACTGTATTATTGTAGATGTATTAGTCATTACAATATTCCTTTAGGTTGACTGGCTTCGACTTGTGAACGGTTTTCTGCCCACAGCTGTTACCGAACATGAAAAGGTAGTTGTACCAAATATGGCGTATTTGAAGGCATTCACTAATTTTGTTACAACATTGAATGTAGGAGGGTGAGTACTAGACTATTTCCTCACACTTTATTAACAAAACTGAAATGGCATGATTTGTTCTTACCTATTTGGGCCATAATGAAGTCATTATCTAGACATTATAATATATGACTTAGTATGACCAAGGATTATCTCATGAACTAAAAAATCAACAACTCGTAACAGAACGTAAAATGAATTTTTTTTCGAAAGGAAAAAATGATGTATGAAGTATGCAAACAATATCAGTTTGAAAGAACTAATAAAAAACAACTGTTAATTTAACATAATTCAGGTGACTTTAATACTTCTTATTAAGTTCATTTTAAAAAGGTTAAATGCACAAAATTTTTAACTTTTCCAAGCTTGTTGGATCATTTAAGTTAGTGTAAAAATAACGGTTTTAATTTTCAGAGTCACATTTAGTTAAATTTGAATTTTTATTGATTTACCTCTCGAAATTAAAAAATACAACTTCATTTAATTAAAGTAAAATTAAATAACATCTCGTCATGGCACTCACGTAAAAAGTCATTAATTATTGAACTTTCTTGCAGTAACTCTAATGGCTTTCTTATATTTATGACATGATATTGAAGTTAAATGTTACTAAGAGATTGACCAATATCTATCTAGAAGCGAAGTGTTTGTAAGATAATTATAAAAGAATGTCATAATTATACACTTACAAACAACGTTATTCTTTCTGAAATAGTTTGTATGTTTCCTGTTAGGTGCAAGGCTGTACAATGGGCTATCTGCGCTCTGCCCCGCAGGGATCAAACCCCGATTTTTAGTGTTATAAGTCTTCAAGATTATCGTTAAGCCAAAAGGGGAGTGTTCCTGAAATAATGCTTAGAGATGCTTAGTTTTGTAACAATTTAATTTTTCACTATTGTCTTTTGACGAAAAACAAAGAACACATTGTGATCAACAAAAAAGTTATAGTTTCGAAGTATAGCAGATCTTATTTGTGTAGATAAATCACTACACAAGGGCTATTTGCGCTTTCTGTCCATAATTTTGAAGTAATAAATTAAAACGGAGAC